TTTACTAGCATTATCCATTTTTTTACATATATAAATTACATTTTTATTTCTGAAGTAAGATAAAAGTAAAAATGATTGATATAATGTCAGAAAAAAAAAATTTCGTTAGCGAATAAATTTTGCGGGCAAATCTTGAATAACATAGAAATGTTATGGTAATGCTAAGTTATGGTTCTATCTTGGTATAAGGTAGTAGTAATGGTCTGTTAAAAAGCTATGTATTTGCTGTGCGATCAGGTGTTTTACACATAAAACCTAACCTATAAAACGCACAAACGTAAAATAACAATTTTATCATAAGTGCATTTGTGATGACTCTTTGAAACGCATACGTAAAGTTAGGTTTAATTAAATTTAATGTGTAATTGCACTGTAATACATAGCCTTTTGACAACTCGTTACTACCAATTCATACGAAGATAGACCCGCAATATAACATTACCATCATATTTTTATTTTATCTGAGAATTGGCCCCAAAGTGTATATATGAATAAAATCAGGAGGACAGAACATAATGTGAAAAAAAAAGATTCTAGACATTTCGACATACAATTCTTTGCCATCATCAGTTAATATGAATAATATCTAGCAAACATACAACAAAATCAATAACAAAAAATGTAAAGAACACCAATGGCACATAATACTACAATAGCCAGTGATTGTGAATTAATATTTGTTAAGTAATGATATTTTACTAATTTTTTTCAACAAATACTATTCGATGCATCCGCGGCAATTTGAAAATTTGTATTTTATACAAAGAAATTTATTTAATTTATTTCTCTTCACTTAAAAAAACATTTTGTAATTTAATAGAAATGTCGGTATTGTGAAGGAGTTTGTATTTTTAGTATCCGATAATTTATATCTTTTCTACTATATTACTTTTGTTTCTTGGCCTTGTCATCAAGATCATGATCTTGATATATGTCCTGATGATGGAACGATGTTTTATTACGTATTGGTTTTCTTGTTTGAAGCTCAACACAACACATACAAATACAAAACTCAATTATCTAATATAAATCTTCAAGATAATTGCATAAAATAAAAGTCCAAAAAATAATGAAAAAATTATTTGATATAACTTATTTGATCGAAATTACAAGTAACTCAGTAAGGTTGCTCCAATAGCTTTTTCGGCAATATACTAATGAAATAATAAACTATTTCATAGTTTTATAAAATTGAAGTAAATCTGGGTAAAAATACCCGCAATAATTTAAAAAATGCCCATAATATCCTAGATTTCTTATATATTTATTTTGGCATAAATAATGAACTCATAAATTTGGGTCGCTTCGAATCGAGGACTTTTCCGAATTCCCATGAACCTTTCTTTCCCCAGAAAAGGATCTAGGGATTTATACGAGTAAATAAACACGCGCGCTTCGTCCCATACGTTTTGTTTACGTTTGGATGTCATCTTCCGTGATCTGCAAAGATCAACTGCTTGCACGCAAATATATTATAAAAGGTCCATGGGAAAATAAATATAATGCAAATAAATGTCATGAAATTTTTTGATTTTAAGTTTTTTGATCGTCCGTTCTCAGATATCTAAAAAATCTACAAGAATCGACGAAAAATAAGAACGGTATTGAATTAAAACGTTGTTTTTGATTACACAAACCCCTAGGGGTCAATATAACAATATTCAGGAAGTCCACGGTTACAAAAAAAACCGAAATGAAATGAAATTGTGGTCCACGGGAGTGCATGACGTCAATATCTATGTACTTATACTATCTATAATTAAAATTCATGTACAATATTTATAAATTGAACTAAAAACTGTAGTAGCATAAATAGGCATTCGATTTTTAGTCGCAAAGTGATGGAGCTTGTAAAGTCCCAATTTGCTGATTATTCAAAAGCTTGGCAATATTCTTTGCATTTTTGAGAGTGTCGTAGTACTTCTTGATGATAAAGATAAAAACGATTTAATACTTATAAATAGTGATGTAGTGAATAAAAAAATATGTAGGCTAAATATCGTTAGACGGGAGATGTAAGATTAAAGCTTGTAGAGATGTAAAGTTGTTGCCAAATAATTAAACATTTACTTTCTTTTTCATTATTATTTTAAAATCAATTAATAAATGTATACAAGTAATATGTATTTTTACTTCAAATATTCAATAATAAACTTTAGTATAGTTAGAAATTACGAGATTCATGGTAAAACATAAAGAGTACACAACGCAAAGAAGTTTGGGAGCCTATTTTATAAACAGCATGTAGTCACATTTCAGATAAAGTTAAGTATTATGAAACAGAATCCCATTGTTTTCGTTTTGCCATCCGCCTTTAAATCGTTTGTAAATGTTTTATAAGTATTTATGATTAAAATTATTTCGTATTACATTCCAATATGTTTTTAATCTTCTGGACACGTATACAAAACAGCCATCAAAACCGCTTTCGATTTATTACACCCAACACTACCCAATCAATCCATTTTCTTTTATAAATGAAAATAATGTCAACGGATATGGTAATATGTAGATATTCTTACATATTCAAAATGCAATAGTATGCAAGATATTATAATATGAAATAGTCTCGGTATACGTATTTATTAAGTAAGTTGAGTTTATTTAAGAGTTCAAAGGAACGGATCGCGAGCGAACTTCGCACCTGGCGCTGCGTCTTTGTTGGGCGAATTTGAATGAAGACTTCTTTTAATAAATATTTGTATAAGAAAATCGAAGGATTACTTTATAGAAATTGATATATACATATAACAAAATAATACTCTCACTACTAGACGTAAAAAAAAGCGTGAATAGAAGAATACGAGTGAAGGAGTATTTGGCTATGACTGGAAAACCGAACCGAATACAATAATAAAATTATTTTTTAAGAATATTTGATATTACCATCTTTTGTCCTATTAAGAGTATTCGATATCAAATATCCAACGCATTAAAGCAAATAATGAACAATATAATATATGATAAAATGATAAAATATAATATACACCTATATGTTGTATTTATATAATATTTAGATAATTTTAATAATTGTTATAAATCTTTATATTATTTCAAGCACACTTTGTATATTGAAGATAATATATTTTTCATGTGATGTATTACCGACATTAGACATACTCCAACTCCTGAATTTTACATACGTGGGTCAATAAATGGGCCAATTCTGCCGTAAAATAGACCAATGTTATGGCAAGGACATGTTACGCTGCGTTTTTCACATAAAATGGTACTAAAAACTGTCACAATATTTATACTTGAAATAATTCATTTGGATCTTCAGCAGAACCTATTTTGTATATTTCCATCAAGTTCAATAATTTTTATAGTCTAACTATTAAATAATTTTTGACATACATAAGTTTTATTATCTATCCTTTTCTAATAATTATTTAACGATCCATTTGAATATGAATGCGGAATATTGTTATT